GTGCTGGGATAACAGGCATGAGGTACCGTGCCAGCGACTTCTGCTTTTTCTAGTTGGATATTAGAAAGCTACTTGGGCTGCTAAGTTTTATTTTAAGTAGAAAGTAAAGAATTGCGTATTTCTGGAAGTTAGTGCTTCTCGTGATTTCATTGCCTGTGTGGGGATAATATAAAGGATATGGGTGTTGGAGCCAAGCAGATTCATTAGTTGGGTAAAAGCCATGAAACCTGGCTCTAGAGACTCAGCTAGTTCCTTAGCTGAATACTAGGGAATACATAGTAAGCTCTGAAGTTTTGGTTCTTGCCTCTCTAGTGAGATAGTTAAAAGAATTAATATTTGGGAGACTAAATGTGTAAATGTATTTGTGCTTTTCTTCAGTCTTCAAAAGGGCTAGTTATTGCTTTTATAAATTCCATATTTTATGCTGATGTTATGCACGGGACAGAAATGTCTTTGTAAAATTGGAAGAGCTATTTACTATGTGGAAAAGATGTTCGAGTCTAGAACACAGGATTTAATATATGTGTGTGGATGACTAAGAGTCTGCTTTTGTAATCATCTGAAATTCTTCCCCTCCCTGTTGTGTTATTTTTTGCATTATTTTCAGATTTATTTGGTTGAAGAACACATTTTTGAGGAGAATCATTCTGTGGAAAAAAATGGAGCTGGACATATGTAACCCAAGAAAGAAAACAAAGTGGTGCTAAATAGTAAATTGTTGACCTGGACAGAATGTTAGGGTGCTTGGGCTTTAATTTCTAGTATTGGTGCTGGCCTCTCCTGTTAGCACTGTGACTTTGGGCAAATCACTGTGCCTCACTAAGCTCTAGTTCCTAGTTCTTAGGCTAATTCATTTAGCTTTGGGCAGTTCACTTAGACACAAGCAAACAAACTTATGCCTCAGTTTATATGTAAAATGAACAGAATGACTAGGTGGCCTGGTTTTCCCTATACTATACTGGTTTGTTATGTCCTCCTTTCTTCTAGGTAGTTTGCTTTGGCCCATAAATGATACAGTGATTTTGAGGATATTTTTAGTGTCTGGTGAAAATCAGACTTTGTTTTAGCATTATATGCCTGGATGCCTGGCCGGGTGTGGTGGCTCATGCCTGTAATCCCAGCAGTTTGGGAGGCTGAAGTGGGTGGATCACCTGAGGTCAGTAGTTCAAGACCAGCCTGGCCAACATGGTGAAATCCTGTCTCTACTAAAAATACAAAAAATTATTCGGATGTGGTGGCATGTGCCTGTAATCCCAGCTACTCAGGAGGAGGTTGAGGCAGAAGAATTGTTTGAACCTGGGAGGTAGAGGCTGCAGTGAGCTGAGACCGTGCCACTGTACTCCAGCCCAGGCGACAGAGTGACACTGTCTTATAAAACACTGGATGCCTTTAAATGAAGCATGCATTCCCTAGTTTACTCTGTGCTCCTCCACTGTGTTTTTTTTTTTTTTTTTTTTGTCTTTTTCCTTTTTGTGGAGAACGGGGTCTTGCTATATTGCCCAGGCAGGTCTCGAACTCCTGGGCTCATGCTATCCTCCCGCTTCTGCCTCCCTAAGAGCTGGGATTACAGGCCTGGCTTTTTTTTTTTTTTTTTTTTGGGTGAGGGTCTTGCTCTGTCACCCAAGCCAGAATGCAGTGGCATGCTTGTAGTTCACTGCACCCTCAACCTCCTGGGCTCAAGCAATCCTTCCATGTCAGCCTCCCAAGTAGCTGTAACTACAGGTGCATGCCACCATGCCTGGCTAATTTGATCTTTTTGGTGGAGATGGGGTTTTGCCATGTTGCCCAGGCTCACCCACCTCAGCCTTTCAAAGTGTTGGGATTACAGACTGAGCCACAGCACCTGGCCACTGTTGTTTTATACCCAGCTCTCTTAGTTTAAATTACCTGCTTACTTCTGAGCTCATTAGCAATGTCTAATGCAAATAGTCTAAATACTAGCAGATGAGAATAATCAATTAACCCTACAAATTCCACTTGGGTTTCCGTGTTCCCTTTTTGTCCTTAATCAGGATTCTAAACTGTTTCGATTATTTTATTTGTTTAGAGACAGGGTCTCACTTTATCACAGAGGCTGGAGTGCAGTGGTATGATCATAGCTCACTACAGCCTTGAACTCCTGGGCCCAAGCAATCCTCTCACCTCAGCCTCCCATGTACCTGGGATGAGAGGCTCATCCCGTTATGCTTGGCAAGTTAAAAAAAAATTTGTTGAAACTGGGTCTCGCTACATTACCCAGGCTGGTTGCAATCTCCTGGCCTCAAGCTACTAGTAATCTCCCACCTCAGCTTCCCAAAGTGCTAGTATTACAGGCATGAACCATTGCAGTCAACTTAAATGATAATTTTTAGACAAAATAATAAATTATTGGTTGTGTCATATTTTTGTGGAACTTTTTTTTTTCTTTTTGAGGCTTGCTCAGATTGCTGAGTAGCTGGGACTACAGGCTTGTAACACCAAGCCTGGATAATTTTTGTATTTTTAGTAGAAACAGGTTTCACTATGTTAGCCAGGCTGGTCTCAAAACTCCTGACCCCAGATGATCTGCCCACCTTGGATTCCCAAAGTAATCGGATTACAGGCATGTGCCACCGCGCCTGGCCTTTTTGTTGAACCTTTTTTTTTTTTAAGACAGAGTTTTGCTCTTGTTGCCCAGGCTGGAGTGCAATGGCATGATCTTAGCTCACCACAACCTCTACCTCCAAAATTCAAGCGATTCTCCTGCCTCAGCCTCTCGAGTAGCTGAGATTACAGGCCATACACCATCACACCTGGGTAATTTTATATTTTTAGTAGAGATGGGGTTTCTCCATGTTGGTCAGGCTGGTCTCAACTCCCAACCGCGGATGATCCTCCCACCTCGGCCTCCCAAAGTGCTGGGATTACAGGTGTGAGCTACCACAGCTGGCCTTGTTGACTTTTTTTTTTTTTTTTGAGCCCAGGCTGGAGTGCAGTGGCACAATCTTGGCTCATTGCAACCTCTACCTCCCGGGTTCAAGTGATTCTTCTGCCTCAGCCTTCCAAGTAGCTGGGACTACGGGTGCATGCTACCATGCCTGGCTAATTTTTTGTATTTTTAGTAGAGATGGGGTTGACCAGGCTGGTCTGGAACTCCTGACCTCAGGTGATACACCTGCCTTGGCCTCCCAAAGTGCTGAGATTATAGATGTGTTAAGCCACTTCGCCCGGCCCAAGATAAACACTTTAAAAATGACAATCTTACTATCATTATTACTTGAAATAATAGCAGTAATTCTTTTATATCATCAAATATTCAGTCACTATTAAAATGTCAGATCTTTGGCCAGTCGTGGTGCCTAACACTTGTAATCCTAGCACCTTAGGAGACTGAGGCAGGTGGATCAGTTGAGGGCAGGAGTTTGAGACCAGCCTGGCCGACATGAGGAAACCCCATCTCTACTAACAATACAAAAATTAGCCAGGCCTGGTGGCATGCGCCTGTAATCCCAGCTATTCGGGAGGCTGAGGCAACAGAATCACTGGAACCCGGGAGGTGGAGGCTTCAGTGAGCTGAGACTGTGCCACTGCACTCCAGCCTGCTGGGTAACAGAGTAAGACTCCGTCTCAAAAAAAAAAAAAAAAAAGAAAGAAAAAGCTCAAGACTGTTCAGTTTTCAAATTAGGATCCACATAAAGCTCATGCATTGCAATTGGTTGATTGTCTTGTCCTTTTTATCTGTAGTTCTGCTGTTACTTTTATTCACTTGCAACTTACTGTTAACTCATGGACTTTGTAGAATTTTTTTACATTCTGTATATTTTTTTTTTTCCAGTTTCATCCTCTTGTATTTCCTTGTTTTAAAATAGTTATTTTCCCCTCAGGAGCAAACTGAAAGGGCAAGAACAACAGCCTTATCAGGGCCTCTCTTAAAAGCCTCTCCTTGTTTTGGGTCAGTAGAAATGATCATGGATATCCTACCTGCTGACAAACTTTTAGGTCTATCCCTTAAAAACAGCCCCAAGTTTAGTAATTGCAGACATAAGAAAATTGAACCACTCAAGACAATTTGAAAAGAGCAAAAGCCTTCAGCCCAGGCTTCTGAAAAGGTAGTTCTTCACTCCTCATAGTTATAAAACCACTGGGAAATCCTTAAAAACCTCCTCGCAGAAGCTTTTGAATTGCAGGGGGAAAAAAAGTAAAAATCCTGAAAGGTCTTTCTGAATCTTTTTTTTTTGTGGGTGGGTGGGCATCACATGAAATAAGAAATCATGAAGTAAATGTGCTTGAAAATGCTTGGCTGGGTGCAGTAGCTCATGCCTATAATCCTAGCACTTAGGGAGGCTGAATGGGTGGATCACTTAAGGTCAGGAGTTTGAGACAAGCGTGGCCAATGTGGCGAGATGCCATCTATTAAAAATACAAAAATTAGCCAGGCGTGGTGGTGTGCACCTGTAATCCCAGCTACTCAGGAGGCTGAGGCATGAGAATTGCTTGAACCTGGCAGGCAGAGGTTGCAGTGAGTCAAGATCATGCCATTGCACTCCAGCCTGGGTAACAGAGTGAGACTCTGTCTCAAGAAAACAATAAATAAATAAAAACTGGGTGGATGGGCATGGTGGCTCTTGCTGTAATCCCTGCAGTTTGAGAGGTTGAGGCAGGAGGATCGCTTGAACCCTGGAGTTTGAATCAGCCTTGGCAACATAGTGAGACCCTATCTCTTAAAAAAATGCTTGTGCATTTTAATTTTGTGGTGCATGTTTATTAAAGGATATAACTAGCTGTTTTTCAGAATTGATGTTTTTACAAATACCAACTTTGTGTATATGGGGGTACTGTTGCATTAAAAATAATTAATGATTTCCTTAGGAAACTTCAATTTTCACTAAGTTCTTAAAAGCAGTTTGTAGAAAATTTGCTTGTTTTTTGAGGAAATATAAACCAAGACAATGATTTCTTTTCTTTACAGAGACCATGAAACGTATGGTGCAATAGCCCTACTTTTGGTGGGAAAAATATACAGCCATTCTGGTGAAGCAGTGAGTAGTGGTATCAGTAGCTTATACTACAGTGTCCAGGTTGAGAACTTAGGCCCTCAAGTAGTATGCTTGAATGATTGTGTTGTGGTACATTAAAAGTAATATTTTTTGGTGATTATTCTGCTTATATGCCAAGATGTCAATAAAGGCTTTACAGAGTAAAACACAGAAGAGGCAGGTACCAATAACTCTCTGACCCACACAACTTTAGGACACCCACTACTGTGCGTATGTGTTGTGAGTGAGTTCTTCCTTTGCATGTTGCATTAATATGGAATTTTTCAGAAGTGATTATTATTGGGCATTAAACCTGGTTTCATTCTGAGTCTAAAGAATCCTCTGGGCCATTATGCCGAGGGGGTAGCCCTCCTCTGTCTATGGAGAAGCTACTCTAGAAAAATAAAAAGAAAAGAAAAAATAAATAATCGTGTAACAAATTATATAATTAAAAATAAAACTTAAAAGCAGATTTTATACACTAACTAGATGTGTTATAAACAAACTATACCAGGCATGGCATGTTTTATTGGACTTGGGATTTCTTTTTCTTTTTCTTTTTTTTTTTTAGATGGAGTCTAACTTTTTTTTTTTTTTGAGACGGAGTTTCGTTCTTGTTACCCAGGCTGGAGTGCAATGGCGCGATCTCGGCTCACTGCAACCTCCGCCTCCTGGGTTCAGGCAATTCTCCTGCCTCAGCCTCCTGAGTAGCTGGGATTACAGGCACGTGCCACCATGCCCAGCTAATTTTTTGTATCTTTTTTAGTAGAGACGGGGTTTCACCATCTTGACCAGGATGGTCTCAATCTCTTGACCTTGTCATCCACCCGCCTCGGCCTCCCAAAGTGCTGGGATTACAGGCTTGAGCCACCGCGCCCGGCTAGCAATGTGTTTTTTGTGTGTGTATGAGACAGTTTCGCTCTTACTGCCCAGGCTGAACTGCAATGGCATCTCGGCTCACTGTAGTCTGCCTTCTGGATTCAAGCGATTCTCCTGCCTCAGCCTCCCAAGTAGCTGGAATTACAGGCATGTGCCACCACACCTGGCTAATTTTGTATGTCTTGGTAGAGACAGGTTTCTCCATATTGGTTAGGCTGGTCTTGAACTCTCGACGTCAGGTGATCCACCCCCCTCAGCCTCCCAAAATCCTGTGATTACAGGCATGAGCTACTGCACCCGGCCCTCTAAGCAATGTATTATATGTGGGGATGGGTAACTTGGGTGGCTTATCTAAATCCTTATTGTAGAGATGGTAATTAGTCTTGCAAATGATTTCCTGAATTTATAAGTAGTCCATAATTTTCATTTCTTTTTTTCTTTGAGACGGAGTTTTGCTTGTGTTACCCAGGATGGAGTGCAATGGCGTGATCTTGGCTCACCGCAACCTCCGCCTCCTGGGTTCAGGCAATTCTCCTGCCTCAGCCTCCTGAGTAGCTGGGATTACAGGCATGCGCCACCATGCCCAGCTAATTTTTGTATTTTTAGTAGAGACGGGGTTTCGCCATGTTGACCAGAATGGTCTTGATCTCTTGACTTCGTGATCCACCCGCCTCGGCCTCCCAAAGTGCTGGGATTACAGGCATGAGCCACTGCCCTTGAACCAATTTTATGTAGTTGTCTTACATACAATAGTAGATTTTATAGCCTTTTAAAACCTGTATCTCTATAATACTTAATTTCACTGTTTTGCATATTTCTTTTTTTGTATGTGTGAGGTTTTAAATTTTAAAATTTTTATTTTTTCCTGAATATTTCTGCCATCTAAGAAGGTTGCCAAGTTTTACTTTCTGTATTTTATAGTAGCTACTATGTATTTCCAATTTCTATACTAAGTCATGTGCCAACTACTTTGTTTACATTGTTTCATTTAACTCTGGAAAATCTGTTGAAATAAATTCTATTAATCCCCATTTCTTTTTTTTTTTTTTTTTTTTTGAGATGGAGACTGGAGTCAAGTGACTCTTCTGCCTCAGTTTCCTGAGTAGCTGGGACTACAGGCGCATGTCACCGTTCCCGGCTAATTTTTATATTTTTAGTAGAGATGAGGTTTCACCATATTGGTTAGGCTGGTTTCGAAAGCCTGACCTTGTGATCCTCGCAAAGTGCTGGGATTACAGGTGTGGGCCACCACACCCGGCAATCCCCATTTCATAGATAGACACCAAGACTCAGAGGTTACTTAAACAAATTGCCTAAAATTGTAAATGGTAGATAATAGCAGATATATCTAAGATGCCCTTTTGAATGATATTCTCCAAGATTTTTGAATGCAATTCTCCAAGATTTGAAAACAACCTTGTTCTAATTAAAATGTACTTAACTATATTTTGCCATACCACTTTATGGTTTTGGTGGGTAGTTAACCTGGCAGTTAGAAATAAGAGTTCTCTGTTCCTCATTCACCCAGGCAACAGCTATTTGCTATAAACATTAATTGCTCTTCAGTTCGATAGAGTGAACTTTGGACACTTTTGGAAATCATATTTCTTCTATATGGTCCTACATCTTAAATTAGATAACATGCTGTTTTGCCTTGATTGGCCTGGACCTGGCAGTAATGAAACCTACCTGTTCATTAGAGGAAGTACAACTGTCAGCTTTGAAGCCTGTTAGGCACAGATCAGTGTTTAGTAAGTGCTGGATGACTGAGTTTGAAATGGATTTAAAGACTAAAATAAAGTAAGTTGTTAGGTAACCTTTATTTGAGGATTTTTTTTTTTTTTTTTTTTTGAGATGGAGTTTCATTCTGTCACCCAGTCTAGAGTGCAGTGGCGCAATCTTGGCTCACTGTAACCTCTGCCTCCCGGGTTTAAGCAATTCTCCTGCCTCAGCCTACGAAGCAACTGGAACCACAGATGCGTGCCACCATGCCTGGCTAGTTTCTTTGTATTTTTAATGCAGATGAGGTTTCACCACATTGGCCAAGCTGGTCTTGAACTCCTGACCTCGGGTGATCCCCCAACCTTGGTCTCTCATAAAAAAGATTCTTTTATGCTGGCATTTATTTGTAAAATGTCAATTATGTTGCTGTAATCGATATATTAATACAAAAATGAAATCAAGATTTGTCCGATCTTAAAATGTTTTGCCCACTTTGTGACTATTATAATTTTCTTGGATAGTTATTTAAAAAGGAATTTCTATTTAGGGAGTTAAATAATTTTAATACTGTACAGATACTATTTTTTCTTTTGAAAAAACTGAAGCATAAGTGTTTTCTATATCTATAGTTGTTTCCATCTTTATTTCCAAACAATTATCCAGTAAGGTTTTTTTAGAGGAGTCTTTGAAGGCACATGGTTGGGAATTTAAAATTATTAGAGTTTAAACCTTTCCCTATCCAGAGCTGTCTGTGATTTATAAAAGACTGAATAGACTTTTTTTAAAGATTAATTTTTTTTTCTTTTACTGAGACAGTCTTACCCTGTTGCCCAGTTTGGAGCACAGTAGCAAGATCTCGGCTCACTGCAACCTCTGCTTCGCAAGTTCAAGTGATTCTTGCGCGTCAGCTTGCTGAGTAGCTGGGATTACAGGTGTGCATCACTGCACCTGGCAGATTTTTTTTGTAATTTTAGTAGAGATGGGGTTTCACCATGTTGGCCAGACTCGTCTTGAACTCTTGGCCTCAAGTGATCCGCCTGCCTGGGCCTCCCAAAGTGCTGTGATTACAGGCATGAGCCACTTTGCCTGACCACGATTGAGAATTTTTTATGGTCGGAAAGATCTTTATTTTTTCAGCCTCCCTTCCTACCAGTTGATTTTATAAGATACTGTTTTTAATGTTGCTAAAGTCATCTTCTCTCCCACCCCCCCTCTATTTGGGTACTCTGCAGACTGCCCTTGTAATACTTGGAGATTTTATTTAAATTATCCAGTGATATTTAGAAAATAAAATCAAATATATTTTAATTTTAATGTAATAGCTACCATATATTCTGCCTACCTACTTACTGTGTACTAGATCCTATAAGTTCTCATGTATATGTATTCTTATTTAATCTTGCTGAAAATTCTATCAAGTTTGTTAATGCAATTTGAAAATATAAAAGGCTCTGAAAACTGGACTTCTTTTGTTAGTTTTTTGGTGACAAAACCTAACCTGACCTGCAATGATGTAAGGCTGTTTTATCTGTTTATCCATCCCATTCAGTGTGAGTATGCTTGCATTTTATTTAACTGCTGAAATATTAATATGCTTGATGCTTAATGGCATGCTTATTATTTTCTGAAAACCAGAAAAAATGTGAATTCTGAAGCCTGTCTACTGCTTCAGGATTCAGAAAAGAGCATGTGGGCCTGTTAGCTCCTCCACTCTCTTGGTGGAGAAGAGAGGTTAAGTAACTTAATGAAATGAGGGGAGAAAGTGGTTAAGAAGCTGACTTTGGGCTACTACCTGTATACATATCCTTCCTCTACTGGGAGAGCCACTGGGTCACTTTCCTTGGGAAGGTCACTTTTCCTTTTCTGTGCTTTAGTTTTCTCAACTATAAAATAGGAACAATAATAGTACTTTACTAATAGGTTTGCTGTGTGATTAAATCACTTGATGTAATTACACATTTAGAATAGTGCCTGGCATATAGTAAGTGCTGTATAAGTATTAACTATTACTGCTTTTTTTCTTTTTGAGATGGGAGTTTTGCTGGTTGCCCAGGCTGGAGTATAATAGCTCCATCTTGGCTCACAGCAACCTCTGCCTCCCGGGTTCAAGTGATTCTCCTGCCTCAGTCTCCTGAGTAGCTGGGATTACAAGCATGTGTCACCACACCCAGCTAATTTTGCATTTTTGATAGAGATGGGGTTTCTCCATGTTGGTCAGGCTAGTCTAGAATTCCCGACCTCAGGTAATCTGCCTGCCTTGGTATCCCAAAGTGTTGGGATTACAGGTGTGAGCCACTGTGCCCAGCCAAACTATTATTGCTTTTATGAAGTAGGTGCTAAATGGCAGAACTATAATAGGATGAATGTGACAGTAACTTTTTTTTTTTTGAGACAGAGTCTCATCTGGTTGCCCAGGTTGGAGTATAGTGGTCTAGTCTAGGCTCACTGAAACCTCTCCCTTTTGGGGTCAAGCAGTTCTCCTTGACCTCCTAAGCCACCCAAGTAGCTGGGACTACAGGTGTGTACCACCATGCCTGGCTAATTTTTTGAATTTTCAGTAGAGATGGAGTTTCAACATGTTGGCCAGACTGGTCTCAAACTTCTGACCTCAAGTGATCCTCCTGCCTTGGCCTGCCAAAGTGCTGGGATTACAGGCGTGAGCCACTCCTCCTGACCTGACAGTAGCTTTTGAAGTCACTTAATATGGGTTTGATTTTGAATATCCACTGAACCTGCATCCTATTGTATTATGACCTACAGTATTATAGGAGCATCTTTAAAATGCTTTGAAAGGATCTGTAGAAGTTTCAGGTAATACCTATGAAGTATTATTCTTGACACCCCCACTTTTTTTTTTTGAAGTGGAGTCTCACTGTGTCACCAGGCTGGAGTGTAGTGGTGCAATCTAAGGTTCACTACAAGCTCGGCCTCCTGGGTTCAAGCAATTCTTGTGCCTCAGCCTCCTGAGTAGCTAGGATTATTAGGCACGTGCCATGGCATCCTGCTAATTTTTGTATTTTTAGTAGAGACGGGGTTTCACTGTGTTAGCCAGGATGGTCTTGATCTCCTGACCTCATGATCTGCCCACCTCAGCATCCCAGAGTGCTGGGATTATAGCTGTGAGCCACTGCACCTGGCCTGTTCTTTTTTTTTTTTCTTCTTAGAGACAGGGTCTCTGTTGCCCAGGCTGGCATGCAGTGGCATGATCACAGCTTACTGCAGCCGTGAACTCCTGGTCACAAGTGATCCTCCTGTCTTAGCCTTCTGAGTAGCAGGGACTACAGGCCTGTGCCTCTACACCTGGCTAATTGTTTCATTTTTTAGTAACAATAAAGTCTCGAACACCTAGGCTCAAACAATACTCTTGCTTTGGCCTCCAGAAGTGCCTGGATTATAGGCATGAGCCACAGCACCTGGTTACCCAGTATGCTTTCTAATAATTATTGAAAAGGGCTCACTTTTGAGAATGTAAGGGAAAGGGAGTTATTTTTATGCTCTTCTTTGTAATTTTAAAATGATGGGATCAGACTAGGATGGCTGTGCTTAAATTTTTTTGTTTTTTGTTTTTGAGAGAGTCTCTTTCTGTCACCCAGGCTGGAGTATAGTGGCATGATCTCAGTTCACTGCAACCTCTGCCTCCTGGGTTCAAGTGATTCTCCTGCATCAGCCTCCTGAGTAGCTGGGATTACAAGTGCCCACCATCACACCCAGCTAATTTTTTTTGTATTTTTAGTAGAGATGCAGTTTAGCCATATTGGCCAGGTTGGTCTTGAACTTCTGACCTCAGGTGATCTGCCTGTCTTAGCCTCCCATAGTGCTAGGATTACAGGCATGAGCCACGGTACCTGGCCACATTTTTAACAAAGTGATTTAGACACATTTAGACTTCACTAGTAGTCTCTCTCTCTTTTTCTTTTTTTTTTTTTGAGGCAAGGTCTTGCTTTGCCATCCAGACTGGAATGCAGTGGTGCCATCACCGCTCACCTCAGGCTTAACCTTCTGGGCTCAACCGATCCTTTCACCTCATCCTCCCAAGTAGCTGGGACCTCAGGTATGCGTCACTACACTCAGCTAATTTTTTGTATAGACGGGGTCTCCCTGTTGCCTAGGCTGATCTCAAATTCCTGGCCTCAGGTGATCCTCCTGCCTCAGCCTCCTGAGTAGCTGGGATTATAGGCATGAGCCATTGCTGTTGTGCTTAGCCAGCCTCTTTTTCTTTTCTTTTTTTTAAATTTTTAAATTTTTTTAATTTAAGAGACAGAGTCTCACCCTGTTGCCTAGGCTGGAGTGCAGTGGTGCGTCTCAGCTCACTGCAACCTCCACCTTCTGAGTTCAAGTGGTTCCCCTGCCTCAGCCTCCCAGGTAGCTGGGATTATAGACATACACACTATGCCCAGCTAGGTTTTTTGTATTTTTATATTTTTATTTGTTTTGTTTTATTTTTCTGAGATGAAGTATTGCTCTTGTCACCCAGGCGAGAGTGCAGTGGTGCAATCTCGGCTCACTGCAATCTTCACCTCCCAGGTTTAAGCGATTCTCCTGCCTCAGCCTCCTGAGTAGCTGGAATTATAGGCACGAGCCACTGTGCCCAACTGTTTTTGTATTTTTAGTAGAGACAGGGTTTTACCATGTTGGCCAGTTTGGTCTTGAACACCTGGTCTCAAGTGGTCCACCCACCTCGGCCTCCCAAAGTGCTGAGATTACAGGCGTGAGCTACTGCTCCTGGCCAGCCCCCTTACTAAGAGACTGGTTATTCTCCATCTATCACATTCTTAGACTGGCAACCCTTTCCACTCAGGCAGACTCACTAGCATGCCCTCCTCTTTTTCTGCTAGATGGATCTCTTTTGTTGCTTATTTAAGCCTCTGAATCCTTAGTAATATTCAGAATGGATAACTAGTCTTTACCATTTACCACTCCTTGTTTTGCTCTTTACTTAATCTGCTTGAACTCTTCAAGGTCCCATTCCCTGCCAAGCCCATTTCCTGGTCACTAATCCACAGTGATTTCTTTCCTTCGAAGACTGTTACCTCAATTAGCATTGACTGGTACGTCTGGTCTCACCTACTGAAGCTGTGTCCTAGGGCTGAGACTGTTTTATACTATCAGACCAGTTAGCATACTTGTTTTTTTAAAAAGTCATTTATTTTTAAGAGGTAGAGTTCTCACTATGTTTCATATAGATTGATGCATATTGATAATTGAGGTGAATTTGCTGGCATTTACACTTAAGTGGTACAAATTTTCTTTTTTGTGTGCTTTCTTTGCTTAGAAGTATTGGTGGAACCGAAGTATACTGAATTCTTGCTTTTAAAAAGCACTATATTTTAGCTTCTTATTTTTAGATAATTTAAAACAGAATTCTTGTAAACTCTTTAGTACAGTCACTCGTTTTTAACATTTTGCTACACTTAATTTATCATTCTCTATGTAATTTTTTTTCCTGAACTTTTGAGACTGAGTTGAAAACATCATTCTACTTAATGCTTGAGCATTTCTTTTCTAAGATCAAAGAAAAACTATAGCCACAATATAGTTTTCAAATTAAAGAAACATTAATAGATTACTTTACTTTGTATCTCATGTTTCATTATTTCTTCAATTTTTCCAATAAAAATTTCCTTCAGAGTGTTTTTTCTCCTCCAGTAAATGATTGTGTATTTACTTGCAATATAATTATGTAGCAATTATATAATAAGGACTGTTCCTCAATTTGGATTTGCTTGATATTTACTCCTGAGAGGTTTAGGTTATGCAGGCAATGTTGCGATGATCTCGGAACACTGCCTCTGCAGGCCCATGATAGCCATGTGCCCTCATTGGCAATATGTACTTTGATTCTCCCTGAGGTTAGGGTGTTGTCCGGTTTCTCTGTTATGTAATTACTGTTTCCCTTTCACTAATAATTCTTTTTTTTTTTTTTTTCTTTCTTTTTGAGACGGAGTCTCGCTCTGTCACCCAGGCTGTAGTACAATGGCACGATCTCAGCTCACTGCAACTTCTGCCTTCCTGGTTTAAGCGATTCTCCTGCCTCAGCCTCCAAGTAGTTGGCATTACAGGCATGTGCCACTGCACTTGGGTAATTTTTGTATTTTTAGTAGAGACAGGGTTTCACTGTGTTGGTCAGCCTGGTCTCGAACTCCCGACCTTGCGATCTGCCCGCCTTGGCCTCCCAAAGGGCTGGGATTACAGCTGTTAGCCACCATGCCTGGCACCACTAGTAAATCTTTAACTATCAGTGTACTGCTTCTCGTAAAACATTCCCCTCTATATTTAGCTAGATACACATTTATTATTTTTTTCATATTTTCTTTTCTTTTTTTCTTTTTTCTTTTTTTTAAGATGGGGATTTCACCATGATGGCCAGGCTGGTCTTGAACTCCTGACCTTAGGTGATCCACCCACCTCAGCCTCCCAAAGTGCTAGGATTACAGGCGTGAGCCACTGCGCCCAGCTCATATTTTCATTTTTTATTTAATTATGAGATCGAGTCTCGCTATGTTAGTTGGTCTTGAACTCCTGGCCTTAGGTGATCAGCCTCTCGAGTAGCTAGTATTATAGGCTTGAGCCATTGTTCCTGACTGCTTTTATTTATTTATTTATTTTTGAGGTGAAGTCTCACCTTGTTGCCCAGGCTGGAGTGCAATGGCACAATCTCAGCTCACTGCAACCTCCCCCTCCTAAATTCAACTGATTCTCCTGCCTTGGCCTCCTGAGTAGCTAGGATTACAGGCGTCTGCCACCACGTCTGGCTAATTTGTTTATATTTTTAGTAGAGACGAAGTTTCACCATGTTGGCTAGGCTGGTCTTGAACTCCTGACCTCAGGTGATCCACCCACCTCAGCCTCTCAAATTGTTGGGATTACAGGCATGAGCCACCGGGACTAGCTGCATTTTGTTTATTAACAGTTGGTTCTTTCTGTGTGGCCCAGACTGGCCTTGAACTTGGCTTTGTGGGCATGCCTGCCTTAGATATTATATTTGTAAGAGTTTTTTGAAATTATAAAAAATAATAACAAAATATATTTTAACCATTAAGCATACAGTTCAAAATAGTGTTAAGTATATTCACATTGTTGTGGAACAGATCTCCAGAAGTTTATCTGGCAAAACTAAAATTCAATAGTTATTATAGACAACAGATTCCCATTTCTCCTCTACCTGCTATTAACAATTCTGCTTTCTGCTTATGGGAATTTGACTACTTCAGATACCTTTCTTGTAAGTGGATTCATACGATATCTTTTTATGATAGGCTTTATTTTACTTAATGTCCTCAGGGCTTATTCATCTTGTAGCATGTGTCATGATTTCCTTTTTTTTTTTTTTTTTTGACACAGTCTTACTCTGTCACCAAGGCTGGAGTACAGTGGCACGATGTCTTCACTGCAACCTCCGCCTCCTGGGTTCACCTGATTTTTGTGCCTCAGTTTCCCAGGTAGCTGGGATTACAGGTGTACACTTCTGTGCCCTGATAATTTTTCTATTTTTAATAGAGACAGGGTTTTACCATGTTGGCCAGGCTGGTCTTGAACTCCTGGCCTCAAGCAGTCTGCCTGCTTCAGCCTCCCAGAATGCTGGATTACAGGTATGAGCCACCATGCCTGGCCTATATTTCAGCCTTTTTAAGGCTTGAAAATATTAACTAGGCTCAAGCTGTTCTCCTGCCTTAGCCTTCCAAGTAGCTGAGACTATAGGTATGTGCCACTATGCCTGACTAATTTTGTATTTTTGGTAGAGATGGGGTTTAGCTATGTTAGCTGGTCTGGTCTTGAACTCCTGACCTCAGGTTATCTGCCTGCCTCTGCCTCCCAAAGTGCTGGGATTACAGATGTGAACCAGGCCCAGCCAATTTTTTTTTTTTTTTTCTTTATATGTCTCTATCTAGCTCACAGTTTGTTTGTCATTTCTTTTTTTTTTTTTGCAAATCAGTATGACCTTGTAAGGTTGCTCAGGTTAGCCTTGAACTCATGACCTCGCCTTCACAAGTGCCACGACCTCCGGCGGGAGCCACTTTGGACCCCGTTTGTTATTTCATGTGTCAGTGGACACTTAGGTTGCTTCCACCCTCTAGCTTTTGGCTAATACCTCTTTGAGATCCTACTTTCAGTTCTTTAGTATATGTACCCAGAAGTGGGATTGCTGGATTGTATGATAATTCCATTTTTAATTTATTGTGGTAAAATTTTCTATTGCATTTAGCTATTTTATTTTTTTCTCAGTTAAATCTTGACGTTGTAACCAATCTCACAAAGAGATGAAATAGAGATAAGCTTGCTTCAGTTTTTACCTCTTCTGTGATTTAATCTGCTGCTGTTTGTAAGGCAAGGTTGTTTCTAAAAACATTGGCTTAAAATAAAGTGAATCTGGGTATTATTAGTGTTTTCTTTTTCCTTTTTCTTTGGAGACATCATCTAGCTATGTTGATGAGGCTGGTCTTGAACTCCTGGCCTGAAGTTATCCTCCTGTCTTGGCCTCCCAAAGGGCAGGGATTATAGGCATCAGCCACCACTTCTGCTCCTGGCCTGTTTTTGTTTTGGTTTTGAGACAGGGTCTCTGTCTCAAAAAGTGACCACTGCAGTGGTGCAGTCACTGCTCAAGCAGTCCTCCCACTTCAGTCTCCCAAGTAGCTGTGACTACAGGCATCCACCATCACGCCTAGCTAATTTTTATTTATTTATTTTTATTTTTAATTAATTATTTTTGAGAGGAAGTCTCACTCTGTTGCCCAGGCTGTAGTGCAGTGGTGTGATATTTTGACTTACTGCAGCCTCCATCTCCTGGGCTTAAGCGGTTCTCTTGCCTCAGCCTCCCAAGTAGCTGGGACTATAGGTGTGTGCCACCATGCCTGGCTAATTTTTGTATTTTTAGTAGAGATGGGGTTTTGCTATGTTAGCTGTTCTAGTATTTTTAGTAGAGACAGGGTTTCTCTATGTTGGTCAGGCTGGTCTCAAACTCCCAACCTCAGGTGATCCACCCGCCTCAGTCTCCCCAAAGTGTTGGGATTACAGATGTGCCTACTGATTCTTTCTCATAGTGAAAAGGAACCT